AGGGGGCAACAGGGCACCCCATGGGTCAGTAGAACGTTCAGTGGGGCAACTGGGTGTCAGAGGGGGCAACAGGGCACCCAAGGGGGCAACAGGGCACCCCATGGGTCAGTAGAACGTTCAGTGGGGCAACTGGGCACCCCATGGGGCAACAGAAGAGCCCATGGGGCAACAGGGCACCCATGGGTCAGTAGAACGTTCAGTGGGGCAACTGGGCACCCCATGGGGCAACAGAAGAGTCCATGGGGCAACAGGGCACCCATGGGTCAGTAGAACGTTCAGTGGGGCAACTGGATGTCAGAGGGGGCACCAGGGCACCCAAGGGGGCAAGAGGGCACCCAAGGGGGCACCCTGGGTGACAGCGCTGTCCCCGCAGGCTCGCGGCGGGGAGGATGGCGACGGAGGGGGGCCGGGTGCAGATCTCCTTCCCCCAGCACGCGGCGGCGCTGTTGGAGTCCCTCAACCGCCTGCGGCTGGAGGGGAAGTTCTGCGACGTGGCCGTCCACGTGGGCGGGCGGATCTTCCCCGCCCACAAAAGCGTCCTGGCCGCCGCTTCCCCCTTCTTCCACGACAAGTTGTTGCTGCAAGATGGAGGACGTCTTCTGTTACCCCCCGCCATCGATCCCGACGCCTTTGAGGGCCTCCTACACCTCATCTACTCGGGACGTTTGACGTTGTTGTTGGAGGCCCTGCCCGGTCATCTCTTGGTGGCCAGCAGTCTCCAGATGTGGCACGTGGTGGATCAGTGCTCGGAGATCCTGAGGGAGTTGGAGGGAGGGGCGTGCCGGTGGGCTGGGCAGGGCAGCGAGGTGACATCATCATCAACTGGTCGTGGAGGTGAGGCTTCATGGACCACTCGTGGTGGAGATGGGTCTTCATCATCACCCTTGCCCAACCGGGGTGGAGATGGGTCTTCGTGTAGCACCCACGGTAGAGATGGAGGAGCATCGTGGCCCACCCGTGGTGGAGATGGGTCGTCATGTCCCACCCGCGGTGGTGACGGAGCGTCATCGTGGCCCGCCCGCGGCGGCAGTGGCTCTTCATCGTCCTCGTGGCCCACGCGTGGCGGCGACGGCTCATCGTGTCCCACCCGCGGTGGTGACGGAGGATCCTTGTGGTCTGCCCGTGGTGGCGATGGGTCTTCATCATCATCGTGGCCCGGGCGTGGTGGCGACGGCTCTTCGTGGGCCGCCCGCGGCGGCGACGCGGCGACGCCGTCTTTCACCAAGGAGGGGGGCGAGGAGATCCTCAAAATCCGCGTGGCCGCCGACGTGGCGCCGGCAGCGACGTCATCCCTCAGCTCCCTCCTGAAGGACGCCGGCGAGGAGGTCCTCAAGATCTGTGTGGAGGAGGAGGAGGAGGAGGAAGAAGAGGAGGAGGAAGAAGAGGGTGGCCGCCGCCACCACCACCCCACCGACGCCCTCCCGATCGTGCCGGCGGAAGA